GAGGGGGGGGCCACTCTGCAGGGAGTCGAGGAGGGGGGGGCCACTCTGCAGGGAGTCTGGGGTCACACAGCCGCCAGGGGTCAGGGGGCCACTCTGCAGGAAGTCGGGGGTTACACTGAGGAGTGGGGGGGGGGGCCACACTGCAGGGAGAAGAGAGGGGGGGAGCACTCTGCTGTCTATTGAGAGCTACGGGGGCCACTACTGTTGTAGGAGGGGTCTAGGGGGGGCCACTCTGGGTAATCTACTGTTGTAGGAGGGGTCTATTGTTGTCGGGTAAGGGGGGGGCCTACTGTTGCAGGGAGGGGTCGATTGTTGGGGGGCCACTACTGTTGTAGGAGGGGGGGGGCCACTCTGCAGGGTAATCTGTTGTAGGGGGGGGCCATTGTTGCTATGGGTAATCGACTGTTGTAGGGGGGGTCCACTTGTTGCTAGGGTAATCTACTGTTGTAGGAGGGGTCACTATTGCAGGGTAATCTACTGAGAGTAGGGGGGGTCTATTCTGCTAGGGGTAATAACTGTTGTAGGGGGGGGTCATTCTTGCTAGGGGCGTCTAGGAGATTGTAGGGGGGGGGTCACTGTTGCAGGGAAAGATCTACTGTCAAAGGGGGGGTCCACTCTGCAGGGATGAGATCTACTGTCGAAGGGGGGGGCCATAGTTACTGGGAGGGATCGACTGAGGGGGGGGGCCACTCTTAAAGGGAATCGAGAGGGGGGGGGATCTACTATAAAAGGAGGGGTCTATTGAGGGGGGGAGAGATCTCCCGTTGAAGGGGGGGGGCCACTGTTGCTGGGAGAGTCCCGAGGAGGGGGGGTCCACTTGCAGGGCTCGGGAGGGGGATCCACTGTTGCAGGGACAGGTCTGAGGGGGGGGGGGTCTATTGTTGCAGGGAGTCGAGGCAGGGGATCTATTATACTTTTTTCTGCATTATAATACCAAATTCCATCCCCAGGGAGTTATATTTGGTTCTGTTCTCTCTAAAAAGGGCAGTAAGGGGAGGGGATAGAGGTAGAAGCAATGGACAGTGCTAGGAGGTGGCCATCGCAGGTGGTGACAAGGGGTGCCCACTCGGAAAGGAGGGGGAGGGGGGGGGGTAGCCACTCTGCACCTACAAAAAAGCCCTGGGGGCAGGTGACTGCATCTGGTGAGGCCATAGGACCCCCCCACCCACCTGCAGGGGTCTGTGGAAAACACTTCCGCCAAACTGGTCCGTGGTGCAGGAAGTTGGGCTGGTTACAGTCATAACAGTGGGGGGTGTGTGCTATGCATGCAGGGGAGAAAATCTACCGGAGCACTGTGGTTCCCGGCTGCAGAAGGGGGGTAGTGCGGCGAGAGATTCAGCACATCATTTTTTTTTTTTGGGCTTTGTGCAAACTTTATTTGAAGTGTATTAAACGTACACTTTATTCATGGCATTGAACAGCAGAATGATGCGCTGCGCTGCTGTACAGTGGCATGCGATCCGGCACGGTGCGCTGCATTGCAGTGTGCATGGGTCACATAGGAAACAATGGTTGCGGTGACAGACCTCTCACAATGCAGGAAAACGTCTCTCGCTGCACACTGTGCGAATTAGCCCTACAGCTGCCGCATTACCACTCGAGCCCTGCCTCCTGTCAGACCCGCAGCGATATTAGATTCTCATAGGAGCGCGAACCCCTTCTGTAAACTGCGCATGCGAGGATTTAAATGATGCGCTCCTTATGAGTCTTATCATCTGGGTAGAGCTGGGGCGGTGCTGCAAATACAGATCAATAGAGTAGAGACTCCAATGAAAACCTCATCAGTGATTGGGAAGCAGGGCTTTATTTCAGCGGGAACGCGGGGGAACGCAGTTCAGCACCTCCAGCACTGAGTGTATGTAATGGCAAGGGGTGGTGGGGTGTGCTTTGGAGTCTATTGTTGCCGGGTGCTAGGGGATCTATTGTTGCTGGTGGGGATCTATAGTTGCTGAAGAGGGTCTTAGGTTGCTGGGGGTGTCTATTGTTGCTGGAAAAGATCTGTTAAAAGAAGGGTCTATTCTTGCTAGGAGTGATCTACTGTTGTAGGAGGGGTCTATTCTTGCTAGGGGCAATCTACTGCTGTAGGACGGGTCTATTCTTGCTAGGGGCGATCTACTGCTGTAGGAGGGGTCTATCCTTGCTAGGGGCGATCTACTGTTGTAGGAGGGGTCTATCCTTGCTAGGGGCAATCTACTGTTGTAGGAGGGGTCTATCCTTGCTAGGGGCGATCTACTGTTGTAGGAGGGGGTCTATCCTTGCTAGGGGCAATCTACTGTTGTAGGAGGGGGTCTATCTTGCTAGGGGCAATCTACTGTTGTAGGAGGGGGTCTATCCTTGCTAGGGGCAATCTACTGTTGTAGGAGGGGGGTCTATTGTTGCTAGGGGTAATCTACTGTTGTAGGAGGGGGTCTATTGTTGCTAGGGGCGATCTACTGTTGTAGGAGGGGTCTATTGTTGCTAGGGGTAATCTACTGTTGTAGGAGGGGTCTATTGTTGCTAGGGGTAATCTACTGTTGTAGGAGGGGTCTATTCTTGCTAGGGGTAATCTACTGTTGTAGGAGGGGGTCTATTGTTGCTAGGGACGATCTACTGTTGTAGGAGGGGTCTATTGTTGCTACGGGTAATCTACTGTTGTAGGAGGGGTCTATTGTTGCTAGGGGTAATCTACTGTTGTAGGAGGGGTCTATTGTTGCTAGGGGTAATCTACTGTTGTAGGAGGGGTCTATTGTTGCTAGGGGTAATCTACTGTTGTAGGAGGGGGTCTATTGTTGCTAGGGGCGATCTACTGTTGTAGGAGGGGTCTATTGTTGCTACGGGTAATCTACTGTTGTAGGAGGGGTCTATTGTTGCTATGGGTAATCTACTGTTGTAGGAGGGGTCTATTATTGCTAGGGGTAATCTACTGTTGTAGGAGGGGTCTATTATTGCTAGGGGTAATCTACTGTTGTAGGAGGGGTTTTTTGTTGCTAGGGGTAATAACTGTTGTAGGAGGGGTCTATTCTTGCTAGGGGCGATCTACTATTGTAGGAGGGGTCTATTGTTGCTGGGAAAGATCTACTGTCAAAGGAGGGGTCTATAGTTGCTGGGATGGATCTACTGTCGAAGGAGGGGTCTATAGTTACTGGGAGGGATCTACTGTTCCTGGGAGGGCTTTACTGTTAAAGGAGGAATCTACTGTTGCTGGGAGGGATCTACTATAAAAGGAGGAATCTATTGTTGCTGGGAGAGATCTCCCGTTGAAGGAGGGGTCTATTGTTGCTGCGAGAGATCTCCCGTTGAAGGAGGGGTCTATTGTTGCTGGGAGAGATCTCCCGTTGAAGGAGGGGTCTATTGTTGCTGGGAGAGATCTCCCGTTGAAGGAGGGGTCTATTGTTGCTGGGAGAGATCTCCCGTTGGAGGGGGTCTATTGTTGCTGGGAGAGATCTCCCGTTGGAGGGGGTCTATTGTTGCTGGGAGAGATATCCCGTTGGAGGGGGTCTATTGTTGCTGGGAGAGATCTCCTGTTGGAGGAGGGGTCTATTGTTGCTGGGAGAGATCTTCTGTTGAGGGACAGGTCTGTTGCTGGGGGGGGGGGGATCTATTGTTGCTGGCTGCAGGGGAACTATTATACTTTTTTCTTATTATAATTACCAAATTCCTTATCCCCACAAAATTATATTTGGTTCTGTTTTCTCTAAAAAGGGCAGTACTGGGGAGGTGGATAGAGATAGAAGCAATGGACAGTGCTAGGAGGTGGATAGGGGTGTGGTGACAAGGGGTGATTCGGAAAGGGGGGGAGGGGGGGGGGGTAGTACCTTCACCTACAAAAAAGCCCTGGTGGCAGGTGACTGCATCTGGTGCAGGCCATATTTCCACCCCCCCCCACCCACCTCCGGTCTGTGGAAAACCAGTCTTCCGCCAAAACTGGTCCGTGGTGCCCAAAATGTTGAGGCTGGTCTACAGTCTATAACAGGGAAAGGTGTGTGCTATGCATCAGAGCTGTGTAAATCTCAGGACTGGATGGACAGAAAAACACACCCTTTTAACAGGCAAATCATCCCCCCCTTATTTGTACGTCATCGATGTATCCAGCTTGTCTGCCTGGAGTTCAGCTTCATAAAGCACAGGAAACTGTGAACCACGTGGAGGTCGTTGCTTGTAACAGTAGCACAAGTGACAGCCGAGTGTGCTCCTCGCACAGCTGCTATGCAGTGATAAGACTTGGCCTAGGCACTTCCCTTGTTCCTGAGTGAATCCGATATCACATCGTGTGAAAAGATAACCACCACAACTTTGTTACAATTTTCTTCTTAAGCCAAACCAAAACCGAACCTTCGGAGAACCTTCATCACCGGTGTACCTTCATCATACGATGCTCTCTCTTCCCACCCCATGCCTCTGCAAAGGCTTTGTTCTTTTGCAACACGCACACGTTAACAAGTCCGACACGTTGTGGCTGAAGAGCGAACGGCACGGGTGAAAGTACTGGTAGAAGAAGAGCATGAAAAAAATGGCAGCGGCATATCCCACCAACAGCTGCACTACGAGGAGGGGGGAGCAAAAATACTCAAAGCCGTCCTCCTTGTAAAAATACCAGAGTATAACCAGAGCCGCATTCTCAAGTAATCGAAAAGAGTAGTGGAGGCAGAGCCTCCCCAATTCTGGGATTGGTCAATGAGGTCTCGCTCGGCCAAAATTGAGCTGGACCGCTGACCAGCAAAACATATTGATGGCGGAGTACAATAACGTCACCGTACCCAAAACGATCATGGTGCCTATCCGGCTGAAGTTCTTCTCTACGTTCTCTGGGATGCTGTTACCACTTCTCCAAAAGTTGACCCACGGCAATAGGAAGAGGGCCACCAGATTCACCACCACCACGATGGCCACCCAAGCTTTTAGCGCTGCGCAGAAGAGTACCAAGACGGTAACACGGGTGGCTATTTCCAAGGACCTCCACAGAACGATGCAGATGAATGCTGGCACGCTTAACTGGACTTTGTAGTCATCATATTTGATCTGGATGGCCAAGATGTTGAGAACCAAAGCGCCGTAGGTGGTGGAGGCCAGAGACATTGCCATGAGGACAGCTGTAAAGGAGACAAAGGAACACATTATTAATGTTATATTAATATTGGATATTACAATATGCTATATCAGTGGTCTCCGGGAAGCTGGATACGGCCCTTTGCTTGCTTTTATCTGGGCCCTTGGGGCACTTTTCCTCCCACTGATGCAAAGCCCTATTCCTCCCACCGACACCAGTGGTGGGGCCCTATTCCTCCCACCGACACCAGTGGTGGGGCCCTATTCCTCCCACCGACACCAGCGACGGGGCCCTATTCCTCCCCCACCCGACGGGGCCCTATTCCTCCCACCGAGACCAGCGACGGGGCCCTATTCCTCCCACCGATACCAGCGACGGGGCCCTATTCCTCCCACCGATACCAGCGACGGGGCCCTATTCCTCCCACCGATACCAGCGACGGGGCCCTATTCGATACCAGCGACGGGGCCCTATTCCTCCCACCGATACCAGCGACGGGGCCCTATTCCTCCCACCGATACCAGCGACGGGGCCCTATTCCTCCCACCGATACCAACGATGGGGCCCTATTCCTCCCACCGACACCAATGATGGGGCCCTATTCCTCCTTCTGGCGGAGCAGTATTCCTCCCCACTGACACCAACGATGAGGCAATATTCTTCCCAATGATGGGGCACTATTCCTCCCACGAATGCCAAAAATGCACGGTTTACTCCCACTAACACCAGGACATTTTCTACCCTCAGTGGCCACAGTCTGCCCCTCCTAAAGTCTGAAGGACAGTAAACTGGCCCTTTGTTTAGAAAGTTTGGAGACCCCTGCACTATATGGTCAAAAAAAAAAAAAAATGTTGACGCCTCACAATTACCCCTACTATATAGCCAAAAGCACGAGGATCCTCCAAATTGGCCTCTCTCAAGCAGCGTTCCATTGAACCCAAAAGTTCTTCCAAAAGGTTGCTAGGGGCTCGTTGAGCAATGAGCAACTTCTACCTCTCAGATAAGTTTCCACTAACACCAATGATCTTTTTAGCTTTCTGTAAAGGAGGAATTCTTCCCAATGACCACCAACATAAGCAGCATTCATCTCAGTGACAAACAGTGAGCAGTTGGTATAGTAATTTTTTTAGCATTGGTTCTCTGAGCTTAAAGTTATTTTTAAGAGTTCCTCCATGTTAAAAATGTTGAGAAAGGTTGCTCTAAATTATGATTGAACTCAGGTGGTTTCAGTGAAGGGTACCAGCAATGCTCCTGCGTACAAAGACATTTTAGACAATTGCGCCCTTCCAGTAGTTTGGGGAAGACTTTTCCATCATGACTGTGCCGCGGTGTACAAAGCCAGAACCATAGAGACATGGCTTGAGGAGTTTGGTCTGGAGGAACTCAAGTGTCCTGCACAAAGCCCTGACCTCAACCCTACTGAACACGTTTGGGATGAGCCAGGTCTTTACAGCAAACTCTTCCAACTATGTTTTTTTTTTTATTGAGATGTTGGTTGAGGAGGAACTGGAGTATCTTTCATAGCCCTGACCTCAATCCTATTGAACACCATTAGCATGAATTGTAATGAACCAGGTCTTCTCAACCAACATCTCCATAAATGCATGGTTTGACAAGAGTTTGGTGTGGAGGAACTCTCTGGCACAAAGCCCTGACCTCAATCCTGTTGAGCACCCTTGGAATGAACTGGAATGCCAATTGCAAGTCAAGCCTTCCCATCCAACATCAGTACCTGACCTTACAAATGTTCTTGTAAGTGGACACAATATCCCTAAAAATCCTCTAAAATCCCCCACAGAAAGCCATCCCAGAAGAGTGGAGGCTGTTATATCCACAATATATCTCCATATTAACCATATTGGTTTCAGAATGGAATGTCCAACAAGCCCACCTCGCCTACGCCATGGTCCAGCCGTCCCGCCTACGCCATGGTCAAGCCGCCTCGCCTACGCCATGGTCAAGCCGCCTCGCCTACGCCATGGTCAAGCCGCCTCGCCTACGCCATGTCAAGCCGCCTCGCCTACGCCATGATCAAGCCGCCTCGCCTACGCCATGATCAAGCCGCCTCGCCTACGCCATGATCAAGCCGCCTCGCCTACGCCATGATCAAGCCGCCTCGCCTACGCCATGATCAAGCCGCCTCGCCTACCCCATGGTCCAACCAACCAGCACCAAATACATTTTGATTCCACTGAATCTTCCGTACGATTAGAAGTTACAAATTGATACAACATATACATATTACAGACACAGGGCTGTTCAGGCATTGTCACATGACAGACCATGGAATACAACATCTCATGAGGAATTTATATTTCATTTGTACGTTGTTTTTGAGTTCTGCTTTAAATAACTTTCCAGGAGAAAATGCCGACTCGGCCTCCTTCCGGTGCTAATGACATGACCCAAAGCCGAAGGCTCTAGTCACATGATCTTTGATGGGAACAAGCAGCTTCAGTTTTGATGGCGCTGCAAGAAAATCTTAGTGGCTGCTCAACTAAAAATGGACAACCAGATGTCTAACTCTTGGGAAAAAAAAAGGCCCAACCCCCTGGCCTGCCGCCTCAACTGGCCAGGGCCCAGCCGCCTCAACTGCGCCAGGGCCCAGCCGCCTCAACTGCGCCAGGGCCCATTTTGATTCCACTGCCGCCTCAACTGCGCCAGGGCCCAGTCACATGACGCCTCATCTCATGAGAATTTATATTTCTGCGCCAGGGCCCAGCCGAAGGCTCGTCAAATGATCTCACCTGCGCCAGTGGGCTCCTAAAAAGCCGCCTCACCTGCGCCAGGGCCCAGCCGCCTCACTGCGCCAGGGCCCAGCCGCCTCACCTGCGCCAGGCCCAGCCGCCTCCGCCTCAGGGCCCAGCCGCCTCAACGCCAGGGCCCAGGGCCGCCTCACCTACGCCAGGGCCCAGCCGCCTCACCTACGCCAGGGCCCAGCCGCCTCACCTACGCCAGGGCCCAACCAACCAGCACCAAATACATTTTGATTCTGTTGAATCTTCCGTACGATTAGAAGTTACAAATTGTTACAACATATACATATTACAGACACAGGGCTGCTCAGGCATTGTCACATGACAGACTGTGTAATACAACATCTCATGAGGAATTTAGATTTAATTTTACGTTCAGTTTTTGAGTTCTGCTTTAAATAAAACTTTCCAGGAGAAAATGCCGACTCGGCCTCCTTCCGGTGCTAATGACATGACCCAAAGCCGAAGGCTCTGGTCACATGATCTTTGATGGGAACAATCAGCTTCAGTTTTGATGGCCCTGCAAGAAAATCTTAGTGGCTGCTCAGCTAAAAATGGGCAACCAGCTGTCTGTAATTCTGAAAAAAAAAAAAGGCCACCGTATAAAGAAGCTTGCATTCGGTTAAAGAATGGAAGGAATTTGCACTGAGCCCCTGGGATCTGACATTGAGGGGAAACAAACAACTGGTGAGCTACTGAGGATGGAGCCGTTCGCTGGAAATGATAGGTTAAATGGTCATGTCCTGCACTGATGCCCCTCCCACCTCGCCCCCGCCCCGCGTCTATTCACAGCACTGGACCCTAATCATGTGCCGACTATGCTGAAGTCTAATCTGCTTACATTTTCCTTTCTCTGGTCCCCCCCCTCCCCTCCCACAGCTTTATAAATAAAACCTTTTCATTTCCATTAAGGCCGGCCATACACGGGTTGATTTCCGAAAGATTTTTCAGTCGAAAAAACGGACCTAAGAATAATTGACCGATTTTCGCTCCGTTAGTAGGGCAATGGCACCGGACGATTTTCATGGTTCCTCCCCATTTCGTTTATTGAGCATGTTGAAACATTTGTGAAAAACGACCGATTTTCGAAATCATTGGTGGCACCATCGGATTACAGAACAAACGACGGTTTTCGATCGAAAAATCGCTCGGAATTCATCCCATATATGGCCTGCTTTAGGCTCCATTCACACTTGTGCGACTTCAAAACCGTGCGATTTTCATAGAAAATTTACAGTATGATGGATTGTGCTGTACAAAAGTCGCTCACAAGTCGCACGTATATCATTCAGGTGCGACATTGGAGGGTTTACATTGAAGTCTATGGCCCTCAAGTCGCATTGGAAGCCGGACCAAAGTAGCACAGGAACTACTTTCAAGTTGCTGTGATATGAATGATACTTATTGGGAAACATGGGGCGCGACTTGTTCATGTGACTTTGGACCCCGAAGTCGTTGCACAAGTGTCGTCACTGGATCTCTGTGCTTCTTTATACAATGCAGGCAGATCGTGGCCTGGTGGGAGGGGCCGGCATCACAGCACCCTGCCTCAGTACTGCTCTCAAGAGCCCTGATGCAAGCAGGGGGCGGGCTCTTGGGAGCGGTTATGCAAATAACAAAATGACTTGATGGTTGGGTGTCGGTCTGGAGGAGTGGGCGTGCCTAGGCAGGATGTATTTGCATGCAATGCCCACATCTAAGTCGGAGCCTTCAAGAACTGAAATCCACCGAATGAAAGGGGCGGGGCCAGAGAGTCTGGTTGGCAGGGTAGAGGAAAGGGCTAGATGATGCTGGGTATCCCCCAGCCAGAAAATGACTTGGGCTCTAATTAATAAAATGGGCGGGGTCAAGGACAGTCAGGCTGTGGGGAGGAAAGAGCTAGAATTTCACGGGTGTCAAATTGACAGCCCTCCAGCTGTTGCCAAACTAAAAGTCCCATGAGGCATTGCAAGACTGACAGTTACAAGCATGACTCCCAAAGGCAGAAGCATGATGGGACTTGTAGTTTTGAAACAGCTGGAGGGCCGCCAGTTTGACACCCTGAGCTAGATGATGCTTGGTGTCCTCCAGCCAGGAAATGGGGCGGAACCTACTGAATTAAAAGGGGGGGGGGGCCTGGGACAGTCAGGTTGGAGAGGAAAGGGCTAAATGATGCTGGGCATCCTCCAGCCAGGAAAGGACTTGCCACAGCTTTTAATGCACATTGTGAGAAGCTCACAGTGTGCAGTGAAACCAGAGGAAGTTGTTTCAGTGCAGGAGAGGAGCACCGGCACCTGGGCCAGGCTGA